AATAAAGACTCTATAGACAAATTCTGATCAAAAATGGGAAAATGCACAACATAATTTCAAAGTCTCATGGAATCCATACTTTATGGAGCCATGGAGGCTGGAATAAATCCCTGAAACTCTGTCTTGAGATAGTCTTTAAACTTCAAACCAAAAACATTTCCTGAATTTGTCTTAAAACCAAACAACAGTTTAGCTTAACTAGTAAGAATGTCTGTCTTGACCACTGTGCTCTTTTAAGAACTATTTATAAGGGATCATACTGACAATAGTAATATGAAGGATTAGATAGGGAATTTAGGGAGGGGGTAGTGAGTTTATGTCAATGGGGAAGGAACAATCCAGAAAAGGAGGGTGAGAATGGTTCCACAACTTGAAGAATGTAAGCAATGTTTAACGAATTGTTCATGTAGAAATTGCTGAATTGGTGTATATTCTGCTATGTATAATCTCAACAACAACAGTAACAACAAAAAATGAATTAATTAAGAAGAAAAAAATTGCCATGTATTGAAAAATAAACTTAACATTGAGAGGTATCTTTGGAGAACTATTGGACTATAAGGAAAAAGAAAAATATCCTTCGCGTATTTAAGTAAAAAATAACAAGGCATTTTTAGGAAAAGAAAATAGAACTGTTATTGGACATTCTGAGAACAATGCTTTATGCCTGAAGAAAATAGAATTAAATATTAAAGATGCTCAAGGAAGAAAATGTAAGCCAGGGATCTTATTTTTAGTCAAACTAACCTTCAAGAATAAACTCTTAAGACAAACTGTTATAAACACAGAAAAATTCTGGGAGCATTGCTCATGACCCCTTGCTAAGGAATCTAATAGAAAATGCACATCAGTCAACCAAAATGACTAACGACTAACGTACTGGAAAACTGAAAAACATCACAGTCCTTTATGTTTAATTATTTAATACAAAAACCAGTCCCTGATAATAGTGTTTCCATTTTACAAATGGAGAAACCAAATGTCCAAGTCAGAGGAACTTGCCCATGGTTGCTGAAGAAGTAGGGCAACCAGAATCTGAACCAAAGCCTATTCTCTCTATAACATTAAACTGGCCCTACAAATATATTAACTAAACTTTTGTCTTTGCATATATTATACTCATTGCCTGAAATTTCATTCTCTTCCATACCTGCCTAATGAGCTTCCCCCCCCCCCCCCCTTTTCTTTGGCCTATCTCAAAAGTCACTTTTTCTCTGTGTGGCTTCTCACACAGTAAAGCTTCTTCATCTGTGGCCTATAACATTTTAGATACACCTCTAACATGAGATTTCCCACAATGATTTCCTCAATGGTAAGAATTGTGACTTCATTGTCTTAAATTCCCTGTATATAGCACATTTTTCAAACATAGTGGGGGAAAATTTTTACAAGAGGACAGATGGGAAGCCTTTCTTGATTAACCAAGAAAAATTTAATTACTTAAACATCTCTGCCCTAGCTCTGAACTTGCATATATTTTTATTCTTATCTTTTTCATAAAATATTATAGTTTGTTTTCATTTTTATTCAAACTTTTTATTTCTCTTTGTAGCCTTCTAACCAAACTTACAATAGTGCCTATAACTAATAAATAGTTGGTGAACTGAATATAAAAAAGACAAGTCATAAAATACGTTACCTCTCAGTTCCAATTCTATGCAGACAGATTATTACTGGAGAATGAAAAAACTTCCTGTCATACTGCTTAATTATTATTCTACATCAAATAACATATATTTTAATCAATAAAAGTTCTACATAAGGGAAATGAGAATGTGATGTCTTAAAAATGATATTCTAGTGACATGAACACATGAAGGACTTTTTTGACTTCAAAATAATCTGAAATTTATTTCATTATTTTTGAAAATATTTTTGGCCAGGAGTATTTTTGTCCTAAATAAATAAATGAAGGCTGGAACATTTTGAGAATAGGCTCAGACTGAGTATAAAAATATTAAGATATAATTATTTTATATTTTATTAGTTCTCAACATAAAATCGCACAATTTCCTGACACAAGATTATGAACAAACTACAAAAACAGACACTCTGTGCTTTCTCCCTTTTTTCAAACGGTTCATTGTATGTTCTAATTCAAGTTGTTTTTTTTCTTTGACATTAAAGAAAATACTAGAATGATCAATGGTGAGGAGATCCCACGAAAAGGAAATAGCAACCTGTTTTTGTCAGTTCAGTAACATATGTATAGGTTCATACTGCTGGCTAATTACAAGCATCTTGCTATTTTTTGCATCTGGCTAATTCCAATATAGAACATGTGAAGAACCTCACCTCCTAGGTTATTTTTCCTCCAGCCTTGGATATAAGTTTCACCCTAAGCATTAGGAGACAGAGACAGAAAAAGACAGAAACAGCATGCAAGAGTGACATATATATACAGATTCTTGCCTAAGCAGCACTTCCAAAAGACAAATACTATATGCTACTTCATCACTTGAATAAATGGCTAAGTCTGAAAATACCTGTTTTATAAATGGACAATCTTCTTTATACGTGGCTTCAAACCAATCAAAACGAAACCAAACCAAATACTGTTGAGTCAATTCTGACTCATAGTGACCCTACAGAACAGAGTAGAACTTCCCCATAGGGTTTCCAGGGCTGCAATCTTTACAGAAGCAGACTGACCCATCTTTTTTTCATGGTAGCTCTAATACCAAGACCCAAAAGACTCATGCATTTTGAAAGTTTTCCTCCTGCTTCACTCTAACTCAACCTCTCCAATCAAGGATGTCTGTCATATCAATAACAGATACTTTTTAATCAATCTAATTCCTGAATTCACTTTAAAACATACACTATCCATGTCATTGGACTGTGCTTATATCTTTCTTCATGTAACACATTTTTCTAACTGTTCTTTTTGGACTCTCCTCATACATATTTTCTTTGCCATTTATTTTCAAGTCCCATCCAGGTTATAGGTCAAAACTCAAGCCCACTATGGACAATTCCCAAGAAAATATGAACATTCTCCATCAAAAGAGAAAATTATGGTAACAAAAAGATAATCTATTACAAACAATTCACTCAAAATGGAAACATCTTTTTTAAAAATTCTATTTTTAATAACATTGATAGTATAGAAAAACAAGTAGTCTCTACTTACCACTTCTAACAGCTACATTTTCCAATAGTTCTGTCTGAAGTTGTAGTTCAGCTTCTCCAAGTATCTTTAAAACAGAATCTGTTGGGCTTTTACCCCAGACTCTTCTTGGAGATCCACCAGGATCCAATTTAATAACCTCTCCCACTGTGCATTCTGTAAGAAAAAGATACAAAGAAATAATTTTCAATGATAGAATAGTAACCCTGCATTGTAAGGCAGATCTTGGATTTTCTATGAGAAAGAATGCTTCATGAGAGAAATGAATTTGTATCACAAAGAACATTAAGTTGATGATGCTTAAAAAAAAGAGACTTACAAGGAATTATGGATGGTAAGGATGGAATCAACCAATAACTAACAATAAAAAATAAATCTACAATCTCCTCTTAAGAGTACTTATGAATTAAACCCCAACTTGGGAGAATACAAAACAGTAAAAAATTAAAATTATGTTGTTATAAATTTAATCAAAAGGAACAGAAAATATGTCATAAGATAAAAGCATAGGATTCAAAATCAGAGAAAAGTCCACTTGTAAGTACATTTGTCTTATTTTATGTTATAGGTAGGCCATAGACATTTCTTTGTTTGACAATAATAATTTTGGTTAAACAAAATGCAGCAAAACAAAAATAGAAAATGATCATGGAAGTATGAAATACTGATATCTTTAGAACATTTGGTAATAATGCATGAAGCTTTTAGCTACTTAGCAGGAATTGACAGAACTTAGTATTAAATGTTATAGGGTGTAAGTTATGTAGACTTTGAATGGTAACATACAAAACTAACTTCTGTCGAGTCAATTCTGACTCATAGAAACCCCGTGGCAGAACTACACCAATGGGTTTTCCAAGACTGAAAGTACCCTGTCACATCTTTCTCCATAGAGCAGGTGGTGGGTCCAAACCTCATAGCATAATACACATAAATAAAAATTTTTATGTACCAGTTTCTTGAAAGTAAGTATATGTGATTCAGCAGGTAAAACTTAAGTTTTGAACAGACTAGATGATTAACAATAGGGAACTAATCTTAGAAATTATGGTTAAAATAAAGATCTCAGAAAAACACCCATATGATATAGGCAGTTGATGTTTGATAAAGATACAAAACAATCCAATGGGAAAAAAGTCTCTTTATCAAATGAAATATAAATAACTGAATACCCATGCCATCAAGTAGATTCTGACTCAGAGACCCTTACTTGGCTTCCAAAGCTGTAAATCTTTACAGAAGTAGATTGTTTCATCTTTCTCCCACTCTGGCTCTTGTTAGCAATCAAATAAATGTCTTACTCCCTATGCCACCAGAGCTCCACTATAGAACTTAGATCCCTTTGATGTAGAAAGGGCAAACCCAGGTGAGTGGACAGAATTGGCAGTCTAGGAAAGCCTCCATCCAGCTAATGTTTGTTAGAGTACTGAAAGTACAAAGCTATAGAAAAAGAGAATTCCGGAACTGCAGAGTGTCCCTTTAAATCTTCAGCTGAGTATGGATTGGGACATGCATATGAGGAAATAACTGTAGTCTAAAGAAAACAACAACACAATCAAAAGTAATGGAGGGAACAACAGAGTTCACACAGGATGAGATTTAGTTCCTATTCCTACCAGGCATACACATGTAGTCTGTTACTTATAATGAGATATCTGTCATTCTTACTCTTCTAGTTATTTTTCCATATGTAACGTGTGTGTTTTCCCCCCTCTGGTTGCATTAAAGATTTTTCCTTTTAGCTTTGGTTTTAGTGAATTTGATTATAATATGCTTTTTCATAGTTTCCTTCACATTTCTTTTGCTTGGGTT